CATTGAGTGAAGGAAATTGCGGCCAATAACGCTGTAGAAACAAAAGGGAATGTCCATTAACCCGCGAGTTGCTGGGGGGGGGGGCGTTAAACGCCCCCACTTTTTCGCCGGGCCATAGCATAAAAACGGCGCGCCGCAGGCGCGCCAAATTTTGGGTACCTGTAGGGAATTGATTGAAGTTTATTGTGACAAAGTTTAAAGAAAATCGGTCGGAAAAAAAATTTGAGATATCGAGCTTTTAGTGACGTCATGATTTCTGAGTTTTCGACCAAAAACGACATATGTTCAAAAAATCATATAAAATCACAGAATAGACATATAGACATGCTGCAAACGCCATTAGACTGCCAATACCATGAACAATCAAATGGCTATCTTCGATTATTGATTATGGATCCGCATTTTCCAAAATCTTGAACTGAATCTTGGCAATTTCTCGTGACTACTTCACGACCATGATACATTAATTTCTTAAATTGAACTTTTTTAGCCAAACACGTACACATATGATAAAATGAATGTCACCATCGTGTTCCACGCCCCAAATTACCCATAAAACATGTGTCACAGGCTGCGTATATCAGTTTTTATTTTCGGGGATATGTGCCTGCCCGGTTGACCTGACCTTGACCCTGACCTATACTTGACTGACCCCTGCATGGAGCTGACACTCTTGTAGGCCTTATATGATGGATTGTGCACCGTTTTGGCAGAGTTTATGACGAGAGGCGCCTATTGCGAAGTCCTGAAGTCCATGCTACTGAAAGCCCGATTTCAGGTGTTTGACCTGACCTTGACCTGACCTGTGACCTCGAAATTCAACTTTAAAGTACTCATCTTAAGCGTCTCGTCGCGTTCTTTCGTTTGCCGCCCCGTGCGTTTCGCTGCGCCTATTGGTTCTCGAGTTATCGGCTGGGGGCGTTTAACGCCCCCCCCCAGCAAACGGTGGGTGGCGAAATACCCCAGCAACTGCCGGGTTAAAGGGCAGGCTGAATAGTCGTCAAGTTCTGGTGTTTAGAGTAGGCCGGGTGGTAGGTAGGTACAGACAGAGTCAGACACTAAAGTCAGCAAAGAAATGGGGGGGGGGCAGTTAACATTGCTGCCCCCCCTCACCTCCGAAAGTGTGGGGCAGGGCCTGTTCCTACGCATATGATTGTGCTTGCATGTTACCAACGTTTGATGGTTGAGCCTTCACTTCCAAGCAATCGCCAATCACCGTTCTACAAACGATGTTGAACCGTTAGTTTTCAGGATAGGTGTGAGCTGCGTGCCCCCCCCCCCCCATCTCTAGCTCCCCCTCGCTCCCCCCCCCCCCAGCAGACAGCCAAGGGTTCCAAGAAGTCGTTTATTTCAATACTTCAGCACTGATGTTCCAGCATCACCGCACTCGGTGCTCATTGGACGTTCCAGTACGGACGGACGAGTCCATTATTTTGCTCATACAAACGGGGGAGGTAGTTTCTATCCCGTCGTGTATAAACAGCACGGCTGCACGGAACAAGGCAATTATGTTTGTTTGCAACTAACAAGGCTAAAAAATGATTTATTTTGTAATGAATAGATCGGCGCAGGTACCACCTCTGGTGTGTGGCCCCGCGCCGGCCCGGCTCGTCTCTGTGCTGGCCGTGACGCCGGCAGCCGGAGGTGGCCGACGGCCGGCTCCAGTCGGCGCCGCGCGCCTGTCGCTGCCGGCGGCCGGCGGCTCTTATCGGGGCCGCCGCCGGCGCGGCGGTCGGTATATCAGCAGCGGCGCCGGACGGCACCGGCCAGTCCTTCTGTGACAGTGCCACAGTGACTGTGTGATTTGCTACTTGCAAGTGACCTCTTACAACAACAAGATGTCTAACATCCTTGACGCCATCTCTGCCCTCAGGCTGGAGCAGGGGAGGAGGCTGGTGGGGACTCTGAGCCCCGCGGTGCAGCAGCTGGTGGCGAGGTGCGGGTCGGCGGCCCACCTGGTCGCCGACACGCTGCTGGTGACCGATGACCTGGTGAACAACCACGGCCCGGGACGACAGGCGTACATCACCGCTATGGAGGTCGGTGACGCCGTCGCTGATCTGGTGCGCCGCCCTCTGCTGTCGGCGCTGGCGGAGGTCGGGGCCGCCGCCGACGCCGCCCGGTGTCGTCACTGCCAGCCCCGCCAGCCGCTCCGGCTGGTCACCTCTAACAGGTCGGGGAGCTCGGCTGAGGGGCTGCATGACGGTATCATCGGTAAGGGGGGCACGTCAGACTACGACATTATGTTGGAGTTTGACGGCCCCTTCCGCTGGGCGCCGCCGGGCGCGGAGCCGGCCGACATCGAGCCGCGCTCTGCGCCGCAGCTGTGGGCCCGGCCGACCGACAACGCCGGCTTCGTGACGCTGCACTGGGTGCGGACGGACCGGTGCGGCCACGAGGAGCCGCTGGAGGCGCTGCCGGCCGACTCGGTCCGTCGGCTGATGCTGGAGTTCTGCCGGGTCATGATGGATGGTGAGATCACCCCCACCGGCCCGGCAGTCAACGTCAAGAGGCCTGGTGCTAAAGACGGCGGTCATGACTTCGTCTTCTGCCTGCTGGTGCGCGGCTGGTGGCCCGCGTCAGTCTGGCCCGACGGCGCCCCCTGGGACACCAGTTTCGGGGTCCACCTGGTGCCCACCGGCCGGCCGGGCAGTAAGACGGCGTCTATTGAGTACCGCATCTCGCTGTCTCGGGCGGAGCTGCTGGCCGTCCGTCAGCTCTGCCCGGGGCTGCGGGCTGCGGTTACAGCCCTAAAGGCCATCAAAAACATCCTAAGGGAGAGCGGGGTAGCCATCGTCGACTTAAAGTCGTACTTCATGAAGACGGCGGCGCTCTGGCTGGCTCAGGAGCCGCACAGTGGACCGCGGACGGGCGTCACGGACGGCGTCCACCGGCTCCTGGACTGGCTGGAGCGGCGCCTCGATGACGGAGTGCTGCCCTGCTTCTTCTACCCGGACATCAACGTGGCGGCGGAGCTGACCGCGGACCAACGGCAGGCCATCATCGGCTCCCTCCGGCTGGTGAGGGAGCACCTGACACCCCTCCTGATGGCCTGCTGTGAGAAGCGGTGGTCCCTGGACACCCTGCTGGAGGGGCGGCCGACGGAGCCGCTCTCAGAGCGCCAGCTGCGGCTCCGTCTGGGACGGACGCTCCTCCGGCAGGCTGTGGTGGCCGGTATCCAGCTCCGCCCCACGGCTCCCTGCTGGGAGAGCTGGTGGAGTTGGTCCATCCCCAGCCTGGCCCGCGCGGCCCCCCGCCTGCTCCAGTGGTACCACCACATGATGTCGGGGACACACTACCAGCAGTGTTACCTGCTCATGGCCTGGAGCGTGGTGGACCCGGCGGACCTGGCGGACGGCGAGCCGATGACGTCACCGGTCGGTGACGTCACCGTCACGCTAGACGTGACGCCGCTCACCCGGCTCCTCACCGACTCCGACCTGGTGCTCCTGCTGGGTGAGCCGGCCGCGGTGGCCGCCTGGTGTCGCCGGGAGCGTCCGGCCGGCCTGACCGCCGAGCCGGACACGCCGCGGGGCCGGGCCGAGCTGCTGCTGCGGCCCGAGCTGCTGCTGCGGGCCCTCGGTGAGGCCGTTCCGGGGGAGATGGACCGGTGGGGAGAGGTGGACCGGAAGGTGAAGGAGGCCTTTGAGGGGAACTACCGACCACCGGCCACCTACCAGCAGTGCCGGGAGGTGTTGGAGCGGGACCTCAGCTGTGACCTGCAGTACACGCTCCGTGTCAGACTACCGGAGATGGACGGCCCGACGGTGGTCGCCACGGCCGGCCTCTGGCGCCGGCGGCTGCAGCAGCTGCTGACCGGTGACCGGCTGCGCGCGGCCTACGACGCGGCCGTCGGCCGGTGGCCGGACCGGTGGCAGCTGCTGCAGCATTACCTGGCGGAGGACGACACACAAGGTAAGTCCGCCGCCGGCGCCGCCGCGCGGGTTTCGCTTTAGCAACCGAGTTACTGACTGAATAAGTGCTATTTAGAAACACAGGCAAAGGCAAACGGATGCACCCGGCCCCGAACCCACAACCACTGGCTTGGAATGCGACTGCGCTATCTATCACGCCACGCAGCCACTTTTCTTGCATCGACTTATTAGTGAGTTATAAGGAAAGTGAATTATTCTCCGGATGGCTCCTCCTCCTCCCGCTGACACACAGACACACAAGTGGGCGGTGCACTCCGTCACCCGGTGGCCACAACACTGGACCGGATTGGTCATCACTGTACAGCGGCAATACGAGAGACCACCGACTGTTCAATGGCCGTGGACCGATCCTAAATCGGAATGTGACTCGTGAAATTGATCAATTCTACATATATAAGTAAATTATATGATATGACGTTATGATTAGTATGATTATATAATTATATGTATGCACCTAGGCTCTATTATATGATCTAAATGCGATTTAGCCATACCTATCATGCTAGTGAATATCTGTAAAGTTTGCATCTCTCTAATGACGTCAAAGTTTATGCAATCCCGTTCATACCTCCAATACAATACCAATACCACGGTGTTGAAAAGCCTCAGTAGCGAAGACTGTCCTTGGATACAATTACAAATGTCCTGTGTCCAAGATATGAGCTGCAGTCGGCTCCGAAAGCAGTTTGACAGATGGCAGCACCGTCAACTGATGCTTGTGTAGGTGGCAGCACCAGTCACAGTAACACCAGGCCAGAGCTGCAATCACAAACAAAAGGGTTATTGACAACGAGACGAATACCGTTGAAAGGTGCGTCGAACTCTACGAATACAGCAAAACGGAAAGGTATGCCAGTCAAACTCGTTTATAGAGGAAGCAAATTATAAATCATTTTCAGCTGCTGCATTGATTATTAATTATTTCTCATGTTTGCGTTTCAGATTAGCTATAGGTAGCCAGGATATTTGCAATAGGAAATAAAATGGTTCAACGAAACTAGATTCAGCAGATGAAAAGTACATTTATTGTGCTAAGTACAATTATAACGTTTGAATAGAGTCAGACTTCATCCTGTCCAAGATACCCATCTGCTGCCGTCGGTGGCGGTGCCGGAATATGCCGTGAGATGACAGTGAGATATAGGGCCGACATCAAAATATGGAACCGACTGAAATGTCCACATCAGTCTCAGAAACACCAGAGTCGAGCTGCGAACAGAAACAACAAAAACATGTCAGTGTGACCGAAACGTGCAGCTGAGTGAGCAATTATTGTCATTTCTGGGATGGACAAATAGGAAACAAATCAAGAAACGAACAAAACAACAAACATGCATCGTTAGCTCATGTTGAGGTCATCGTTATGGACAACTCAGAGTCTTGCATATCTCAAAGTGGTTTGACAAAAATTGACTCTGGGACAACTTTGCACAGAAGGGCGATAGACCCCCCTCTCCCCCTTAGGATCTCGAAAACGATTCAGACTGAGGCTAGCGACAAGCGGTAAACGTATGGGATACATTCGGTTGGTATCTGCAATTTTTACACGGTTTTTATTTTTCTCTTTCAAGTCAGTGCAAAGATGACGTTGCAGGGGTGAAACTAATCAAAGTTGTGGTGTGTGAGGTCAAGAAAGTATTTTTGTAGGTACTCCTGTGCTCCTTACCTGTAAGGCGCTATCCGGATCGTTGACACCAAGCGGCCGGCGAGATGCCTCCGTTAGGTGAATTGATACTGCCCCTGAGAGTCTAATGGTACCTGGTAAGAGGCTACTACGGTCTGTTTCTGAAAAAGAGAAACAAGCTCGTCAGTTGCGTTCCCTATCTGAGACTGAGCCATTCTCCGTTGAGTGGCCAGGAATGGACCGTGCTCGATGTTCTTTAACCCTCGCCGGACCTATTGGTTTTCTACATACGCGGCGGCCGAGCGGGGGGGGGGGGGGGGGTAGGGTATGACCCCCCCGCCGTTTCTCCCCTAATAGAGCTAGAGGCGAGCGTCGCAGGAAAAACGAGCGTGTGCGCCGTTACGAGACGCAGCGATTAGTACCCCTTATTAACCCTCGCCGGCACAGGGGGAAGGGGGTTGATGCAACCCCCTAAGGTTTTTCGCAAATAACTCGCGTAAAAAGAGGCCGATCGCGACGAAACTTTCAGCAATCTCGCATCGATCAATTTTACACCTACGCTAAAAATTTTATGACCCTGACTCAAATGACCTTTGACCTGTGACCTACTTTCCGAGACCATGTTTGGCCGGAATCGCGATTCGGCGTGCGAGTATGTCGGCTCGCATTAGCCGCGCGTTTGCAAGCTTTTCGGGGTTTCAAACGTTCAAACATGTGATTTGATGTTGCTCCCATGATGCATGCATCCCCTGATGCATGCATGCATCAGGGTGGATGTCAAGGTCACCTGAAGGTCAGGTCAGGTCATTGACCTTTGGTGACCTCGTTTCACTTTTCGAGTTTTACATGTTTCTAGGCTAGTTTTTGGAGCTGATTTCGAATTTAGCAACCATTTGAACATTTACGAAGTAGTTTTGGTGCATTCGTAACATGTTACGAAGCTGTCAGAGGCGGATGACAGGTACTACGAATACCCGCCACGACCCCTACCGGTTGACCTGACCTGACCTGACCCGACCCGACCTGGTCTAAATGCTTAGACATCATCTCTGATCAAAACTAACACGATATTCGTGATCAGCACCCCGTAAAACCCCATAGCAGCCAAACTTTACGACTTTCTAACAGGTCCCGATTTTCCCGATTTTCAGGTAATTGAACTGACCTGGAAGGTCACCCGATGACCTAGGAGCTCGCTAGCTCAATTTGATCAGGAGTTATTGACGAACAACTATTATGACCCTAGTGACGTCATAAATGACGTCACGCAAGGTTAACAATACAAAAGTGAAGCATTGCAACTTGCAAGGAGTGCATGAAATCACGATTCCATGTGGTTAGCCTTCGCCCCAGTGGGGGGGGGGGGGGGCATATGTTACCACCCTGTCGCGTTTTTTGCGATTGAATAAAAAACCACCACTTGGGGTAGCTTTTGGTACATCAATTTCGGACAATGTGTGAAATTTTTGACCCCAGCTCATGTCAGGTCAGGTCACCAGGTGAAGTTAACTGACCAAGCCTAAAAATAAAATTTGCAATCATGTCCAGCCTGCAGTGTTTGTCAGAAAGGTTTTAAACATGGTGGATTGCATGCTGTTATGGGCGCCTACAATTTGTATGTCTCGGATTTTTTATATCCGTGACCTAAGGTCAGGTCAGTGGCGTGACCTTTCCATTACAAGTCAATGGAGAAAAATAAAAATGCCTCTAGATCCGTGTGTACGCATAGGAACAGTCCAAATATTTCAGAATCACAATGATTTGGACCACCCGTGATGACTAAGGTGTCATTTTTGCTGACAGCCTCTAGAAAGGTCATCCGAGGTCATTTGAGGCTACAAACAAATTTTTGCCAATAACTCGCGAAGGAAAAGAGATAGAACGCTGGGGATGGTCTCATTGTGTTTGTCTTGCCGAGACGCATCGACTGATATGCAACATGACCTTTTCCGGTCAGGTCATGACCTTGACCTGAGGTCAAATTTTCAAGTTGACCTTTCAAGGTCAAATTATAGTTCATTCGACGCGTCTCAGCGAAAGGAACACGATTCTGGCAATCGAAATGTCGTGCATTTTTGTTGTCGAAAGTTAGTGTCGAAAAACACTTCGTAAAAACAGCTATTTTTGTTTTTGTTTTTTGAGTTTTTGCCCACTGGAGGCTAAACCGTTAACCTGAGGTCAATTTTGATAATAACCTTTTCAAAAGAAAAGTTCAAGAGCTATCGATTGCTTTTCCATACGTTTTTCTAGCTACCATAGTTCCTGAGGTAACGGCATGTTTTTTGAAAAATATTATGACCATTGGCAAATTTTGACCTTTGATGACCTCTGGTGACCCCAATATTGCTCTAAGATGAAAAATGACTGAAATACTTTCAAACGTACGCCATTAACCCGGCAGGCGATGGGCCTACCAGCCACCTTCCGCGCGGTGGGGGGGGGGGGCACTTTTTTGTCCCCCCCCCGTATCTCCGAAACTACTGGACGGATCCGGAAAATTCAAACGGCGTTCGATAGCCCTGTCAAATTTGTCGAGAGAAACCAAATTTCATTGACCTCAGAGTCACCGATGACGTCACAGGTCAGGTCAAAGATAAAATGTTTCACCGTTCACGGGGCTTCTAGGGAAAGCGCTATAACACCGAGTAAAACGCATTTTGTCGAAAATCAGCGATAAGGCGTCAGTTGTCTAGTACATATGTTGCTATTAGAGGTCACTGGTCATACCAGGTCAGGTCACAGGTCAGGTCACCAAAGGTCACCAAGGGTCACCACATGAGCCCAACTTTACTAAGGTTATGTGATGCATGTTTTATGGCCAGTTTCTCATTTCCAACTCAATGGTGTTGGTTATAAGACCATCAGGTACGGTTTAGGTCACTTTCTGGTGGAGGTCAGGTCAAGGTCAGGTCAAAAAGGTCAAATTTCAAAGTTGATATTTTTGCATAAAATGGGTATCGATTCGATGCAGCTCGTCACGGGGAGTCTAATGATGGTCTTTGTTTTGCGCTACGAGGTCTAGAATTGCTAAAAATTGAGTTTGAAACTTGACGTCATCAATTTTGAACAGTTTTTTCGCTATAACTTGGCCAAAAAAAGAGCTATCGATCTCAAATTTGGTATGTAGATAGAAGGCTGTAGGGGCTATCACATGTATTCCAGTTTTGTTCGAAATTCAAAAAACTTTTTGGATTTTTTGGCTATTATATTCAAAAAATCTATTTTTTGATTTTTGGGGGTCAAAATCCAAAAAATTCGAAAAACCGAAATAGCAATTTGTAGCCCTTTTAATTTCACACCTTTTATAACTGACACATTTTCTGTATCTTTAAAGCTGTAGGCCTGATAGCTCTTCCCGCGAAACCTTTTTTTGGGTCGAAAATGGCAAAAATGACGTCACTCTGACGTCATTAGCGGCCAACCTATCATAGCCTTTGTAAAAATTTTTAGTCACCATGTGCGCTAGCTGCTCCCGGGAGGGTACTGAAAGTTTGGTGACGATCGGCGCAGCGGTTCTCGAGATATATCGAAAAAACTAAAGGGGGGCAAAAAAATGCCCCCCAACCGCCTGGAAGGTTAAGAGCTATCGAAAGCTTTTAACCGCGTCTTTCTAGCCCTCTTAGTTTTTGAGTTAGAGGTGGGTGGTAACATATGCCCCCCCCCCCCCCCACTAGGGCGAAGTTGGCTGAGACTGCCACTGGGGCGCGTGTAAAGTTAATGTGACATCGTTCGCGGCGTCAAAATAGCAGTTTTAATTTTTCCCCATTGACTTAGGTATTGACATTGACTCAGCTAATGGTGAGGTCTTGTGACCGACCTGAACTCATGTGACCTTAACACGCGCACCGACGGGGGGCGGATATCCGCCCCCCTGAGGTTTTTCGCGAATAGCGGGAAAACCGCGGCGCGTAGCGCCGCGAAATTTAGTACGACTATTCTCTTATTAATTTTACACATGGTGTGCAATTTTGCACCTCCTAACTTTTAAGGTCAGGTCACCAGGTCACTTTGAATGACCCAACCTCAAGTCACTTTTTTGCAACTTTGTCACCGTGACAGAGCTACAGTAGATGTCAGAGGCCTTTGAATGTCGCAGGATGTTATAAGGTTATTAGTATCTACAATTTGTATATCTCGGAATTTTTATATCGGTGACCTAAGGTCAGGTCAATTTCGCGACCTCCCCATTATAAGTCAATGGGGGAAAAATCAACTCCCTGTTTTTACCACTAAAATGGGTCGGAATGGCCCCATATACCATGCACGACTTCATATACGATCAACCTTCACTACCTTGAGGTCAGTTTTGCTGTTGGGCAGCTGTAAGGTCATGTGACGTCATCAAAGGTCACCAGCGGTTTTTTGCCAATAACTCCGTACAGGAACAAGATACAGCCGCGCGGATGGTCTCATTGTGTTCAGCTCGACAAGACGCATCGAATGACATACATGATGACCTTGAGGTCACGTGACCTGAGGTCAACCTTTGACCTTGACCTTTCGAGGACAACATATATATCATTCGATGCGGATTGACGAGTGGATCACGATGATGCCATTAGTTTGTTCCTATCTTGTCTAATTCGAAAGTTATTCGAGAAAAACTCTATCCATATCTAGCGCCGCCATTTTGACTTTGACCCTTGTCACGTCATCTTTGACCTGACCTGAAAATGACCTTTGTAAAAATTGTAAACCTTGTCCGTACGTACGTATCCGATGCCGTTTACCGCTTGTCGCTACTCGCTATCTTGCTTCGTTCTCGAGATCTCAGGGGGGGAGGGGGGCGGTCATCCGCCCCCCCCGTCGGTACGAAGTTGGCGCAGACCCCCGTCGGAGCGAGTGTTAAAAAAAAAGATCCGATATACAGGATGTGAGACCTCTGGAGGATACTACATAGGTCCTGTAAGTTCCATCCCCCTGTGAAAGCTCCTCTGGCACTGAGAGCGTTGTGAAGTTGCGACATCTGACGACCGTGCAGAGGTTCAATTATGACGTCATAAGTCAGTGATCTGATGTGATCCGAAAATGCAGTTGGTGTCACAAAATGCGGCTTGGATCAAAGGTCACGTAACACAAGTTTCAGCTCTCTATCGCCCCGTTTTCGGCAAAAAAAAAACTATTAGTCGTTGGGTGCCGTCCCCCACCCACACATTTTTAT